TATATAAAAAAACTGAATAAAAAAATAAATTCATTCAAAATAGATTAGTTTGAACTAATTTTAATTTTTTAAAATATTTTTTTTTTAATTTTTATAAAATGATATTATCCCTTTATCCCTTTGTTTTATTGTAGTGCAATGATTCCTTGGTACTGGGTTGGGAAAAAAATCTGGCCACATTGATGATGATGATGGCCTTTCGGATTCTCCCATCTCTTTCATCTCCGTTCAGCAAATATCATTCCATAACTTTCTCACATATTCCAGTACCAAGAGAATTCTATTAATTGTTTTTTTTTTTTTTATGCAGAGAATTAGTGCTTATGTTTTACCAAAAAGGCAAGGAATAAGTTTGGTCTTCGTCTCAGGGCTGCAATGAAGGATTGTAAAGGGGAGAGCAGCAAGTGTGCTGAAGGGTCTTAAACCGCTACTAAGACCATTAGTGATGCACCAGCCATATACTGGGATCAATCCATCCAGTACCAGTTCATGAAAATGCAACCAGAAACAATAATAATCACTCAAACAAAGAACAGAGACTAGACTGGAACACAGAAGACACAATAAAGTCGTCAACAAGATGATCAATCAACTAATTATAATTTACAAGGCGAGTCCGATACGGGACATACCTCTTCTAAACTTGTATCTTGGAAAGGCTCAATCTGCTTCCGCTCGTCCCACAACTCAAATCTCTTCAAACCATGCTGCTACAGTTGAGTTGTTAAAGATGCCAACGCCCATGAGCATTTTCTGTGAATAAGTATGCCCATAGGAGTGTGTGGTAGCTTTAGAGGAGTGGTTTAAAAAAATATTTTATAAAAAATATTCTTGGTTGAGGATAATTTGATATTTGTATATATTTGATTATAATTAAAGTTATATAAAAAATAGTTTAATATATTTGGTTAAGAATCTGTTCAAATTAAGATTATGTTTGTATATATATATATATATATTGATGGTTTTTAATTTAAATATTATAAATTTAATTACTGTTATTACATCATAAAATAAATAATACTTATATAAAATATTTTTTATTGTTTTATTAAACTATCTATAATTCCATCAGATATAAAATCCATCCGACAAGGATTTTAATTTTCTTGATTTTTTAAACGCGCAACAACATTAAGTAAAATATTATCAGGAATGAAGTTGAAATTATGATTAAATTCTATAAATGTTACGTTGAAATTATGATCAAACTCTATAAATGTTATGTTATCAAGCGATTTCTTTTTAATTTTTTTAAATAAAATATAATTAAAAATAAAAATTAATTTTTTTTTACTAAATCAAACTCAATTCAATATATTTATCTTTGAACCGGGTTCAAGCCAAAACAATAAAAAGTTTTTATTGTTTATATGAATAATACAAACACTCTCCGTTGATTATTTAAGTGACGTAGAATGGACGAAAGCAACTCTTAGCTACTTTTAGCAAATTTGTGGGTTAAATACATTTTATATATATCCCACACCATTTTAGAGCATCTCCAATGGAGAAGCCAAATGGATAGTCAAAAAATAAAAATTAATATTTTGGTTTTTTTTTTATTTGTTTTGCACACTCCAAGGGGGAAGCCAAACAAAATGCTAAAATGCATTCTCTCCCACAAATGCTATTTCTACATATCTCTTTAAAGAGCCAAAACCAACAAAGTGGGACTACTAAAAAAATAGACCAATTAAATGTAGACATGTGGAAAAAAAAATAACATTAAACAATATTAAAAAATGATAAAACACTTATTTTTTTCACTCCAATATAAATGGCTCTTCAAATAACTTTTTTTCATTGGAATAAATATGATGACTTTTTTCCATTGAAATAAATATGGTAAGATAAGTTATATTTATATTATTCAAGAATAAATATGATGGCTTTTTTCCATTGGAATAAATATGGTAAGATAAGCTATATTTATACTATTCAAAATATTATTTTATTAATTTAGCTTTTCAAAATAGCATTTTGGATGGGAGATAAATAGCATTTTAGATTGGAGATGATCTTAGCATCACCAAATATGTTATTTGTGTGAGTTAACTTTAGTAAACACCCTCGCAACATGAATTCCAGGAACTAAAAGAAACAAATTGAGAGAATGTATTATACACCATGGCACCTCCATGGCCTTCTCCACAACAAGGATGGAAGAAGGTTGAAGAAGAAGAGGGAGATAGCACTAAAATTCATCACTTCGCAAGTATTATGATTATAATATTAATTTCCAGTGCTTTCATCCTTAGCAGGGAGGCAAGGGATAATCCAAATAAGAAAATGTGAGAAACGCCGAATACTCCAGAGCATGTTAAGAAGGAATAAAAGGAAATTACATTCTCAACAGATAAAATACTGATTTGAAACTGAAGTCTTCCACAAGACTTCCACTGTGATCCCAACTTCGAGGAAAAACTAGAGCTACACACTCTAATTGTCGGAAAAATTAAATCAACGGAGGGAGAAAGAGATAAAGATCCATGTATTCTGAAGGTTAATTAATGAGTAACTATTTCTCCATGAAGGATGCATATTGCAAACAGACAAACACCAAGAACAATGCACAGGAGATCATAATAAAAGGAACTTCAGCAGAACAAGTTGTGAAAAAACTAGGATTATTATAGAAGCACTAACTGCAATAATTTACAAAGAACCAAGCTACAAAGCAGTCAAGGTTTCGGTTACAAGGAAGCTATTGAAAGAATTCAACACTAGAACAACAATCTTTCTTGGCAAAGTATACAAGGAGAATAGAAAGTCTCACACGTAGTCTACAAATATTGATCGATCTTTTGCCCAATTATTTTCTTTACTTCAATTAGTATTCTGTCCATTCTCGACACCAAGACCATACAAAACACCAGCATACTTCTTAGTGGAGCCACTGAAAAAGTTATCCTTCAACTTCTTAAATGTGGATGATGTAAGCAAACTATCAGAGCCAGCTTGATGGCACACACCAATTCTTTCCACCTCCAACAACTCTGCAAGCTTGTTCAATCCACCATGCAGGCTATTGCAAAACTTCATCAAATGCTTGATATCATACACCATTGGAAAATACATATTGATCAAGTCAAAGAATCCTGCTTGTGAGTCAGGCAAACTCCTGCAAGTCAAAAGCTTGAGCAAATACCCAAAATCATATCCACTATGAAAAGTAACCCAGTTCACACCATCATTCAAAACAATCCCAGATGACATCAGAAGCTCACCAAACCGATTCACATCAATACCCATTTCACTGTTCTTCTTAAAATCAATCCCACATTGGCGCAACAATTCAATTGAATCACTGGCAAAGATGTCTTCAGTCACATTAAACTCACGAAAATTAAATTGCCAAATGCAAAACTTATCCGTCCCACAAGTTGGTAAATTCCCATTCTCATCCGAGAACGTTAGACCCAATTGGATCAATTTCAGCATGTCAACATTATCTTTCAAAGTCTGATAATTATAATCACTAATATTCTTAAAATTCCCGACAGGGCGCAAAACCACGCCAGGGAACTCGGTATCCATAGCTACGTGATTAAACTGATCGACAATTTCACGAATCAAGGCAAACTCCTCTTCGAGATTATCATTCCAAACCTCTCTAATTTGAATAGAGTCTTCTTTCGGCGGTGCAATTGACATTTCCATTAAAAAAACAGTTAAAAAATCCTAGAAAGTTCCAAACTTTAACGAATCCAGATCCCAAAAACACACAAACATAAACACTTCGAAACCTCAAAACCTGAAAAGGACCTGCTTAAATTCAGTCCCAAAACGCAGTCCTTTCACAAACAACCCAGATCTACAACAAATAAAACAAAAACAACAAAAATAAAAATCCAAACTTTATTGTACAAAACCTCAAAAAGCTAAAGTATTTCAATCACTAAAGCAAAGATCTAACCTTTCATGTGTGAAATCAGAGGTTGTAGAGAACAGATCTTGAAGTGGTGATTTGTGATTCCTGGGTTTGATTTAGAGAGAATTTTTAGGCCAGATAAAGATTTTATGAGAGAGAGGCGGGTTAACTCGCTATGATGTCTAGTAAGAGAACTGTGTGGGGGAGGACAGTGCAATAAAAGGGGAAAGTGATGTTGCTTGAAAGTGTGAACGGGTCAAAAACGAGGGCGTTTACACCGTCTTTACCAAAACGCTTGCGTTTTGTGTCTTCCTTCAATTTTCATACTGTGAACTGTGAATCTTCACTTGAGAATTTGAACCTTTTTTAAATTTAGACCCCTATATAGTCTTTGTTATGGATCCACAAAGACGTTTTTCTAGGGTTTTAGTCGGACTTTCGATTCCCATCTTGATAATAAATGTATGATTTTATATCCTTAAACCATGAGAAAAAAAATAATTCCAACAAAGGTAATATTGAGGGGATATTTAGAAATATAATAATAATTATTTTTTAAAATATTTTTTATTTAAAAAATATTAAAATAATTTTTATTTTTATTTTATAAAAAATATTTTTAACATCAACATATCAAAATATTAAAAAATATTAATTTAAAATAAAAAAATATAAAAAATTCAAATACTTTCAAAAATATTTTTAAAATATAAAAACAAACAAATCCTTGGCCTCCCACCAAAAAATAAAAAAGTAGATTCTTACTTTTATAATAATAATTTATTTAAAAATATTATCTTTGTATAGAATTATAATTGTTAAATCTAATTTTTTTTTTTTTTTTAGATTAACGTGGGTGTCCGGGCCAGCTTGTGCGCACCACGACTAATCCCACGGGTCCTGAAGTTAACGACCATGTAAGCCTCCAGTGGCCATCATATGAGCAACCAAGGACTCGAACCTGAGACCACAGAGGGAGCAAACCCCTTGATCCCAAATCCTTATCACCACCACCTAGATGGTTAATTGTTAAATCTAAATTGATGTTATAGGTTGATATCAAAGACTCGGGATCTTAAACCTGATTTAGAGTAAATTTTTAATTAAATCAAATATAATAATATTGACTAAATAAAAATAAATCAACTTACCAATTTCTAGTGACTCAGTTATCTTAATTAAACTTAATTCAAATTTAGTTGACTCAACACTAAAAAAATAATACCACAATGTTATTTTAATAAAAAAAATTATTTAATAATTTACAAATTGACCCAATAACATATTTTTGTTTTATGAATGAGTCCTCGAATCTCATCCGGCAACTATGCATAAAACTAAGAAAACATAAATGAAATACATTTATTACTAACTGAAATTTATCCCCTTCCTCCTAGTTTAGCATCATGCTAGTATTTATTTCTTAAATTATTTTTATTGAAAAAGACATTAAACTGAAATTTTGGTGAGTGTTTTTCAATAATTTTGATATATAAATGTAAAATATATAAAAATTACATCTAAAAAATTATTTTTAATATATTTTTAATTGAAAAATACTCTTAAAAACATCATGATTCACATTACCAAACACCAAACTTAAAAAAAAAAATCTATAAGCGGGTTGAATAATCCAAATCACAGGTAGATGCTTGCAATTCTTGGTTGAATGTTACCAGCCAATTAAGCTTAATGTCACAGGTAGATTTTTGGTGACTGGCAAATGACCACATGAGAAGATGCCTGTAATTGGCGTAACATCGACAGGTCTAGAAGCCTCTTGCAAGACGACTGAGTTAAAGCTTTGAAAGATCAAAACGGTGGGATCCAGGGACGTCTCTTTCACGGACAAGGCAAGGAAGAAGCCTTGACTTGGAGTACCGGATATAGGACAAATTAGACCTAACAGGGTTTCATAGATGACTCTGCACAGGTTTGAAAATGGTGCTTTGATGCTTGTCAGAATATTCAATAATATGGAAATGGTCTTCGGTTCACAGAGTCCCGACTCTGTGTGCTTAATTTGTCGTTTTGAACGATGCTTCTTTTTATCATTTACGATAGTTGGCTGGCATTATATGTTTTTTCTGCCTAATCATGGCTATATATATATATATACATATACACGACGTAAATGTATTTTCATTAATCTCTTAAAAGTTAAAATTTTAAAGTTAATTAACATGTAAGTTTTAGTAACCTGAAATTTATATTACTTAAATTAATGATTTTTGAATAACAAATCAATGATTCGATGAATTTAATTTATATTATTTGATTATTGAATGAATTTATTGTTAAGATTTCTTTTAATTTTGTTGTAAAATATCAAAAGATTAATAATTGCATTATAATTAAAAAATAGAATACCATTTTGAATGTAAAAGGATTTCTTACTAATTCAGAGAAGAAAAGGATAATATTTAAATTATAAAAGAAACTATGATATATTATTGAATAATTATAAACTAATAAATATTTATAGTTCATATTGCATCACAAATCATTTTATTATTTCATGTATATATATCTCTGAAATCACCTTAATTATAAAACCATATGTCGCTGATATTAGATGATGAAACCTCTAAGATTCCTAGACATTGCCCTGAAAACATGTTTACAATAAAATTACAATAAAATGTTTATTGTAAACATGTTTTTAGGACAATGTCTAGGAATCTTGAAGGTTTCATCATCGGATATCACCGACATATAATATTTTTTTATATATATATGATTTTTTAATAGTATAAAATAAGATTCAAATCATTCCCAGTCACATGAATCCAAAGATAAACTCAATGCTAGAAATAAATATCAATTGATTCGCAATTATTGCTGCTATAAACAATTTGTAATCGTGCTTCCCACTACCAAATGTACATCCCTTCATATTTATTTAATTCCCCAACACTTTATTATTATTATTATTATTATGGATGGGAACAAAAGAAACTGAATGATGAAGCCTTTCGTGACTTTTGGTCCCAAATGAAATACTGCACGCAAAGGCGTTCTGACCTTTCCCCACAACTTTTTCAAACTTGTGGAGCATGCGTTGTTCCTTTTCCTTGTACTATCTATTTTGTCCTTCATCAATAACACCAAATGATCGAGAGTTGAAAATGGTCTTTAAAATCACGATGTTCGTCATTTTACGAAGTCAACATATACTGATCTTACTAGATTACTTTAAGAACTCGAACGGCATTAAAATTAGATTAAGATTGTCTTCACACGTAATTAAAAAATCAAGTGAGTTCATGTAAAATTAATTATGATTTTCTACAAGTTAATATATAAAATGCACGAAACCAAGCCTCCAACGTCCGGATTAACCATTACATGCAACATTAACCCTACTCTCTCTCTCTCGGAGTCGTTCCGATCCACACCCAACCATCAGATGCAACTTTCACTTTCGGCGCCGTCAGGGTGTGCCGACGACCCCCTCTATTTTCTTTCCCTTGTCGACTGGGTCCTCTCCATCGACTTGTGCTCCTAAACGCATAGTAAAGCTCTTTGAACAAAGAGCAGTGCATTGATTTGGGTCGAAAAAAATTATATTTGCAAACTGCAACCTCCCCCCGTGAGTTATCTGCAACCTTGAATTTAGTTAGTTTTTCTTTTAAGAGTGTTCAGCACAATAACCACACGCATGAGGGTAATTAGATTTGAGGCTTTG